GTATGTAAAATAACCTTTAGTGTTCTTCTCAGATTATTTTTTCACCTACACATTCACGGAGATGTATTTCGCGATTTTACCGTTTTTTGATTATGAGATCTCGCTCATTTCTGTTTATGCAATTGAATCTTTACAATTGCACTCAGCGTTGCCATTGGCCAAAAATAGTTTCATTGAGAGGAATTGCAATTCACGTGGATTTAGATTGCGCATATAATCTCAGTCACTGAAGTAGCAATCACTGAAGTGAAAACTATTCATGGCTAAGCTGTCACTGAAATATTATATTTTCATTAAAGGGGCACCTTCCAGTTAAGCTTAATTTCACAACAAATTTACTTTCTGGCTTAAAATAACAATGGATAACAAAAGATAGATTAACATTGTAAACAACATAAACAATAGTGTCCCATGATTCTTTGGTGCAATCCATTTTAAGGATTTACTAGCATTTTCTCCCTAGCATTCAACAATTGTTGTCACTATTTCGAATAATATCACGATAAATAAAAGATCATAACACTTATTTAATTAATTTGGTCGCCACTCTGAATACTTTGAAAAGTAAAAATGAAATTAAAATTATTTAAATCAACCATGTTGTTGAACATAAACGTTATTTGTGAACAATATATGTTAATTAAAATATACTAAAGTCCAACATGACATTTGCAAATTACTTTCTATTGGTTGATCGTACTTTGATATATTACCTCTTTTAATCGTGTATACAATTAAAAGTTTACATGTTTCTGTAAAATGTCGGCACCATAGAAATTCATTTCTATTTTTTACTAGTGCTTAAGATAGCTGCGTTAGTATAATTACCAATATCATCTGCAGTGACAAATATTTCAGTGTTAAACAGCTCTTATATGCAGGCACGTATACGCCCTAGTGGTACATGCTATTTTTGTTTTCTACTACTAACATTTCAAGCTCTCATTTCTTAGTGTTTTTTAGTGCTAAAGATGCTCTAAAGAATAGGATGATTACTTTTCTGTTGTTTTAGTTTTCAACGCCTAACTAACAGTTTGATTGATAAACAATCTTGCTCTACAATATGTTGATGTGAAAAACAAGACTTCAAGTGAGCAACATAAACTGACAAGAGATTCAGAAATGATTTCGGGAAGACAGTAAGACACCGATGTGTTGTAATAGTTGTTGTTGTCATAACAACGCTACATATTATTATTAATTAAATAGAATATTATTGATATGATGATGATCAATTGTTGAATGTCAGTTTGTGATTGCGCTTATGTTAGATTTGAAGATTTGATATAGGATTATTTTTCATTTTACGTTGCATTGTAAGAATTAAAAAACAGCGATCGCTTTTTATGTATTTTTGCATTGTTTTTGTTTTGATAACTTTGGACTAAACAGAGTTCTATTTGCTCAGATCTTGATCAAAAGTTTGGCACCCATAGGAGTGCTTATATATTGGTAGGTTTACAAAAATATGTATCAGACTGAGCAAAAACTCTCCATGAGTTGGTTTTGAAACCCAGTCTAGTATTCACATGGGACTTTGGAGAAACATTACCAATGATATTATTACAAGATAAATGATTTACTTCATTCAACAATGCATAATCCCACTTGAATCAGTGACCTTTGAACGTGTAACACCAGAGTTCAGTCAAGTTGAAACAGTCAAAATTTTCAGATTTTCTCGATATTGGAAGATGGAGATCAGATGAAGATGAACAGATTACATAAGCAGCCTCTCGGCTGAGATAGCTCAGCTGTTAGCAATGCACATTTCAATTAAAGAACAGAAGATATCATTAGTAAATAAACAATATGTATAGTATCAAAGCAACGGGACTTGCTGTTTTCAACAAGAATTCAAAAATATCATTTTTCACCAAAAAAAAACAAACAAAAAAAATCATCAAAATTAAGTAATTGAAGATATCACCACGAAATTAACAAATCTGAAAGAGGTCCACATGTAGTAACTATATATGTAATATCAAAGCAATTGGACTTGTGCTTTTCAACAAGAAGTCGAAAATATCACTTTTTATCAAAAATATTCACCAAAATTAGAGAATTAAAGATATTATTACAAAATGAACAAATCTGGGAGAGGTCCACATGTAGTACTTATATATGTAATATCAAAGCAATTGGACTTGCGGTTTTTAACAAGAAGTCGAAAATATCACTTTTTACCAAAAATGACAAAAATATTCACCAAAATTAGATAATTAAAGATATCAAAACAAAATGAACAAATCTGAGATAAGTCCACTTGTATTACCTATGTATGTAATATCAAAGCAATTGGACTTGCGGTTTTAACAAGAAGTTGAAAATATTACTTTTTACCAAAAATGACAAAAATATTCACAAAAATTAGAGAATTGAGGATATCATCATGAAATGAACAAATCTAAGAGAGGTCTACCCAAGGTACATATACACCAAGTATCAAAGCATTCAGGCTTGTAGTTTTCAAGAAGTCGAAAAAGTAAAACATTGACACGGACGGCGATGGACGACAACAACGGGCAATCACTCATATGATAAGCTCCGCTCGACAGCGGAGCTAAAAAAGTTGGATATGATGTCAGTAGTAATGGATGAAGAAGTTCCTTTCTTCAATTCCGGTACATAATGTTTTGTCAACAGTCAACAACATAGAGGGAGGTGAAGTTCTATGTGAGAACTGTTTGTTCACATATTGTGTACTTGATTAGGTAGTAATCACATGCGGACATTTGATGATATTAATACCGCTAGAGTTTGGTTAATTACATGTTCATGTTATAGCCAGGAACTTCTGTGAACTTCTGTGTAAGGTTTTTGTAGAGTCTGACTAATCTTTTGTACAGTTTTTGTACAATTATACAGTTTTTCAGCACACACAAATCTAAACTAGTAGAAATTGCATTGTACACATGTTGGAAACTAGTATGTATATATTTATGTAATGCAATAACATAAGCCAATATGAGCATTATTCATACAAATTTTAGCAAGAGTGAAAAACCAGACCAGGTACTTTTCATTTGCTACAACAAACTGGTTAACAGGAGGATGCAATTTTTGACAACAGAGTACCTGGGTGAATATTTGTGTATGTGCATTTTATTAAGCATCAGTATCACAGATCTGAGTAGCATGAGGGCGCAATTCACATACCACTCACAAATTATTGATTAGAGCTAGACTTTTTTTTAAATACGTTTTTTGAAATGATTTTCAGTCACTCTGGTTGAAAGAGAAAATAAGCATAAAAGTTCATCATTATATACTAATATTTTACTATTTTTGAATATAAAATACAATTTTGAATAAAATAATGTATGATAATACTGATACTTTAAAAAAAACAGTTATGATTCCTGTTGTTATTTGAATCTGTGTATTCTGTTTTAAGCTTTTAAAATACGGAGTAGCATGTGTGATTGAGTTTTCAGCATTGAATGGCATCAAGTCATTCACGATTTTAACAAATGATTCTAAGATAAACATGTCACAAAATTAATATTTAATGTGAAGAATTTTTCATCAAAATTGGCTTTTAGTGGCCTTTTATGCAGCTTTCAGAATTTATAGGACAACTAAATGTTACAAGGGAAATTTGAACTTCAAATCTACTTTCTCAGTTAGCTGTGTTCAGTTAATAGCTGAAGTTGAAACAGCAATGCATGATGGGATTACAGTAAAGACAAAACGGGCCAAAATGTGTCAGATCATAACTATCCCACCCAAGTCCGAAGCTTTCCACAAAATTTTGTGGATTATACAACTCCCAACAGCTACCATTCATTCAAAATGTTTGACAAAGTTTTCTTAATATTTCCTTTTTTTTAATCAAACTGACATACTGTAATATTGTGAAGAATAGAAATTATTTAATTAATAGATATATTTGTACATGAGACAATGCAGATTATGAATACCTTCATACCAGATAAGTACACAAAACAATATATTATTCCAATTTATAAGAACATATAATAACAATGAGTGACTAACATTGTACCACACTAAATACAAATGCCATACACCACAAGTGCATTATGGAACAATTAAACACTTTCATGATACGTATACAAAATATCTAATTATTAAAAAAGTATCAATACCGCTTCAAAAGCTGACTGTCAATAAATTGAATAAAACATTTATATATTATTGAAAAGATGAAATATTAAATTCGTAAAAATTGCATTTACTCTACGCGAAAGAATTGTGAGCTTTTAACGCTAGATTTGATATATAACAGAATAACTTCTGTCTTGTTTATCTTGCGTTCTTTGGTTCTCTGGTTGCCAGGTTACCAAACACGCTTTTCAGACAGAAAGTAGGAGGGGTCTAATTTAGAACAAGTAGTTTGGGAGATCATTTAGCTCAGTCATGCCTTGAATAAACATGCTTGTATGCTATCCCAAGACACCTTAGACAAATTTTCATGGATATTGAGTTTTTATAAATTGTCCAACTTCATTGTGTGTGCAAGAATGAAAACATGTTTTTTCGTATTTTATGAGTATATTGTGATGTGGATGCCTACAATACAGGATCAACATCCTCTTTAAAAAACTAAAACTGGTATTGTGAATTTTTGTCCAAAACTGCATATTCTCGACCCCCCCCATCGTGCTTGGTGTCGCTAAGCAACCAGAGAGAGCCAACACTGTGCTATTGTACGCAACATGAATTACATAGTACTTCATATTTAGCGAACTGAGATCAATGTCAATCAGAAATATTATATGTATTGACAAATCTCATTTACTGTGAAATACTTTATTTTCACTGGAATTAATTTTCGCTGAAAAGGCTTTTTGGGCGTTTTGTATGGAACTTATTTTCACTGATTTTTGATGAGTTTAATGTGAAATATATGAAAAAAAGTATATTCGCTGGATTTTATTTTCACCGAATCATCCCTTCAGCGAAAATAGCGAAAATAAATTCCAAGCAAAAATAAAGTATTCTACAGTACTTTTCACACAAACATTTCCATTAAAGTTCCTCAAGAAAAAAACATTAAAACTTTACATTACATCCCCAAAAGCTTTGAATGAAAAAAAAATATCCCCCAAATATTGCAAGTAATGTATATATATATAATTATATGTTTGCGTAAAAATGTTACAGATATGTTTTAAAGAGTACATAAGACAGAAATAGACAAATGCTTGGATATTGTTCATTCCACTGTTACAGACTTGGCAAGATTACGAGGACAGTCCACCTACAAGAGATAAGATAGTTACAATAATAATTTGAGGTACAAATATTTATATCAACGGGTAAAACCTGTCTGAACTGAACACCAAAATATTATTTTGTTTACAAACACGTTTAGGTTTATTGATGCTCGATGCAGCAGGGAAAATTGAGTTCGAGAGAAAATTAAATATTATACCAAAGATTTATAAGCTAAAGTAACTGCAATATCAAAATGTATGTACTTGTATTATTTCTAGCCAATAGCATCACAGTATGCGATGGATTCTTGGAAAGGTTTAATTTTGTAAACAGGAATCAGTGAACTTATCACTATATTCAAAAATGCATGTAATATACAGATATATACATATATTTTGTAAATAAAAACTAATAAGGTTTTTTTTTTAACCTTTTCACTACAAGACTTTCTCATGCAAATTCTTGTGCATTCTAACTTTCTAAGAAAAATTAGGAACAAATAAAATGTGTTGCAAAATTTGACATTTGTCATGTTTGTTGGTTATGTTTGTACATGTACTGCGGAGATCACAACACAACTAGCAACAATATTTTGATCAAAGCATAGATATAACTACAGGCAAGTCATTGATTGGATAACTGATTGACTCCATGTCATTTCTTGCGTCGTACAGTCGTTGATCGTTTGATGTTTTCAATTGTGTTATTTTGAATTTCTGATTACATTCACCCAATAATTGTTATCACTTTGAATTAATAAAATCTTAAGTTGATAATTTTTTGAGATACAAAATCCAGTCATGTTGGTTCAAAGAAGATTAAATGTGTTCTAAACTCTTAAACATTGTTTTTGTGCTGAACTTGTAAAATGTTATTTGATGTACAAAATAATAGCAATTTTAAAAATGCAACAAATCAAGACTTTCAAAGATAAGGTATGACCTTAGGACATACTTAGGTACAATGTAACAAGTGTGTATGGTGGAAATACTCAATTCAATATAAGGGATTGACCATTGGAAATCCTGGTAGGAGGGGAGGTGAGGAGTGCTAGCTAGCTAGCTAATTTGATTTTTATTGATGTTTTATTCCGCTGAGATCTGACATGAACTGTTTTATGTTGTACAGGCATTCTGACCCAGAGCTCTTAGATGTCAGACCTGTTGCCTAATAATTTAACCAGATCTCATAAGAGCAAGTTGATTGTTGTACAGTTAACAAACAAACAAACAAACCATGATGGCACAGTCTCAATTAGTTATTTTTTTTATAGTAATATAGTTTGAACATAAACATGTTAGAGATTGAACAAAATCCATCTGTAAACAGCCAGACTTTGGATGATTTTTCAGCACGAAAATGGCCACAATTCGGTTATCTTGAATCAGATTGTTAAACAAATTGATGAGCATATATATAATATTACGTATGATGCATGTATGAAGTTTGAATGTAATTTGGTCCAGGCATTTCTAAGATACAGGTCCAGACGCACACATGCATGCATGCACGCCCAGAGGTCAATCCATAAGTCCCTGTTTTCGAACGGCGTTCGAACAGGGACTAACAAGTCATTGTCAATGACACGTCCCCGTTCCGTTCATATTTGAGTGACATATACATTCAAAGCAGATCATGACCGAAATGCACCTGCATATGTACAACACATTGTGCTAAATCTGAACAAAATCCATCCATGCATGACTGAGATCCGGTTCTGGAATTGTGAAAATACGTGATTTTGATGCATTTTCGGCCTTAAAATGGCCATCATTCCACTATTGTTAAGCAGATCATGAAACAAATGCACATATCTATTTGTGACATGATGTACCATGTGTGTGTGAAGTTTGAACTTGATCAATCCAGACATGTCTTGGATACGGATCCAGAACTGAATTCTTTAACAAATGGCCGCCAGTCGGCCATTTCGAACTTGATCCGAAAAAAAAGACGTGCATCAAGGTCCTATTATGTTTAATGTATGTACCAAATTTGAACAAAATCCATCCATG